TCCAGATATACCATGCCTGCAGATACCCAAGACATAGAATTTGCATAGATTGGAATTTTGTTTGCTAGTATTTTTTGTGGCTGCATTCCCTGCTAGTGCATTTTTTTTTGTTTCCCCACTACCTACCTCCCTTGTATGGATACCAGTGCTTCCACCAGTTTTTGCTGGTAATGTGTCAACACTATTCCCTGAGGTATCATCCTCTTTTGTTCCATCTCCAGCAATATCGCTACTTTTTAACTCTATAAATTGTATAATGTTGTCTTTACCCATTTCATCACCAGGGCTATCTCCATTTGGAACACTGTCCTCCAGGACACCACTAGCACCCTCTGGGGCACTCTCCTCCAAGACAACCCCATCCAAACCACCCATTTTATTTTCCAGCTGTTATACCAGGCTGACACGTCTTTCAAAAAGGATATTTTATTGGTGTTCTTGTCTTTTGTTGAGAAATGGTTTACTAGCTAAGGTTAAAGATTAAATATAGGGAGTACTTAGCTGATAAGACAGCTATCGTTCACACAGCCGTCCCTGCAGACAAGGTCTTGAAAAGCTGTCTCATCCATTTCACAATGGGCTGTAAATGTATATTATGTTAACAAATAATTTACCCCTAAGGGGTGTTATGTCAGCATATTTCATTCACTGATTGCTGACGACTTACTTGTGTGGACTCAAAAGTCCGCACCTCACTGCCGACTATATAGGTTGATTACAAACTCCTTGCGACACAAGAACTGCACAGCCCCCCATACTACAAGAAATCTGTAACCTATCTTGCTCTTGTAGCATGAGCTATGGTGTTCTTCACACCCTCGACAGGTATCAGTGACTTGATAGAAGCTGAAGTGTCCTTGGATGTCCACGTCTTCCATAGTCTAAGGAATACGCACGCTGGTACACTATGTTCCGCAAGGTTTGTCTTTATTGTTCACAATCCTATCACTAAAGAAGCTGATCACACTTCTTTGTAAGTGTTTATCGTGTTTTGTGAGACACTTTATTCACACTAACGCACGGATCAGTGTTCTTTGTTGGTTATCCTGGCGTCAGTGTGAATCCCAGTAGGGTGAAAAGTAATCTGATCTCACAGCATCCTACGCCGCTGCAATGCCCCTCGAACATAAAGGAAAAGCTGACCTAGTAGATTTTGCTTCCTTGCCAAATTCCCTCCATGAAGCAAAGCAGAATGCTTGATTCTTGCTGTCTTAAGCATAGACAACAATGTACACTATCTTTACCATGGTAATAAAGTGGGAGCAGGATTTTCCTTGTCCTGCTAAGGTAAGAGATGGACTGTCTTTTATTAAACTACACTTTGCAACACTGGACTCTTGCAAGGAGCAGCGGTCGCTTGACCACGTCGCATACTTGTATTGCATCTGGGATCAATTACTTGCTGTAGCAGTAAACAAGATGCTTGCCCCTTCTGAGAGGGCTGGGCCGTTCAGGGCTGAAAGGGGCTGATACCCCCCTCCTGGAGAAAATTTCTCCACATCTTTTAATATAGATGTAATTTTCTCCTACAGGTGTATCTCGTTTGGGCAGACTCAAAAACATTTCTCTGATTTTATATCAAAGGTGGTCGCTGGTTTAAAGTTCCTGCATGACCCATAGGACCATTTACCACAGAGATTGCATGCAATCCTCTGCAGACTACAGAGATTTTCATGTAGATGGTCATTTACTACTAACACTTTGCAACTCTCCTAACTAGCTAGTCTACAGGACTACAAAAAGTATATAGTCGTTAGCAGTGCACTGCAACACAAGGGTATCTTGGTACAGACCTACAATCAACTTCGACAACCTCTACTAGTGAGAACGGCTGGATTTGAGAGGGACCTGACCTCCCAACATCTGAGTTCTTACCTCTTCTAGTGACCTACGTCTCACCTCTTGGCGTTATATAAGGCTCCATCCTGTCACTTCATCTCTATATTGTTTCATTCCATGGAACAATGCTCTTCTCCAGACTGAGGGACTGACCACCTCAAAACTTTAAGAGTGATGGACTGATTACATCGTCTTCAAGTATCTTCTGCTTCTATCAACTTTTCTGTACTCGACTGAAGAAGCCTACTGTGTAGGCGAAACGTTTCGAAATAAAGATACCTAACTGTTGCATATGTGTCTTACCTAACAATATAATTGAAGTATTTTAGATTATATGAATATATCCTTTGTCTTATACAAATTTAACTAACTTATAATTAATAATCTACTGTTCAACTATGAAATAATTACAATCCTACTGCACAACTATGATATAATCCTTAGTGTTAAGTAGACTGTAAGCCAATAATGTTAAGTTGGCCCATAATGCCTAGGCATAATAGAGGCTCTCTTTGCTTTGCAACCCACTATTGTAAATATAAAATCTCAATGTACTGTTTGCAAAGACATAAAAAAATAAATAAGGGAAGGGGATACTCCAGTTTCTTGGAGCAAGAGCCCTGCACCGGTATCAGGGGACCCCCCCCCCCATTCCCCTGAAGGAACAATGTGGTGTAACCAACTGTGACAGAGTGAATACAAATTAGCGCTCGAGCGTGCTTAATATTTATTGTTTTATGACAAATTGCACATTTATCAAATTAAAACTTAAAAATAAAATTTTTTTAGTTTGTATGGAAAATGTTAATACAAAATAGGCAAAGGCGCATTTACTGAGAAACAAGAACTATGAATGACACACTTATGCAACACTTGGGAATTTATACTGGAAACGCTTCACTACGCTGTGGCTTATTCAGTCCAGTGCAGAGAAAGGTGGCAAATGGTGAGGAGTTTGAGGTAATCAGTCCCTCAGCCTAGAGTCGATGTGTTCAATCCATGAAACTTGACAAAAGTGCAGCATATTCGTGGAGATGGGGCTGTTATACTGATGACAGATGAGGCAGAGCAGTGGTAGTCGGAGTCACCAGAGAAGAGCACTCCACCTCACCTGTCGTCAGTATAAAAGCCCCATCTCCGCGAATATACTGTACATTTGTCAAGACTGATGGAGTGAACACATCGACTCCATGTTGAGGGACTGATTACCTCAAACTTCTCATCTCCAATCTTCTCTGCACTGGACTGAAGAACCTGCTGAGTGGCGAAACGTTTCCAGATTAATAAAGATTCCCAAATGTTGTCTCATTTATCAACTTGTCGTTTTTTTTTTTAATTTTTTATACACAACTAAGACATATGAAACTTTCTGTTATTAAATAATAATCTTTATTTCTACATGTACCAGGTATACAAGCCTAGCTGACATCAATGATATACTACTACGTATATAGAAAGCTGCTTGTTATGCAGAGCATTTCGGGCAAATTAGGTCAATTTTGTGCCAGGATGTGACCCACACCAATCGACTAACACCCAGGTACCCATTATTACTGATGGGTGAACAAATGGCCAGAAGGTATCTTAAAGAAACGCCCTAATGTTTCCAACCGTACTGGGGAGTGAACCCCCCAGACCTCAATGTGTGAGGAGAGTGCGTTAGCAATCCAGCTACAGGACACATATATATACAGCACTTATGTAGCTTTAGTGCCGAAACGTTTCGCCTGAAAAGTAAGGACACATATATATACAGCACTTATGTAGCTTTAGTGCCGAAACGTTTCGCCTGAAAAGTAAGTTTCATCAGTCGAATACAATATTCTGTACTGGACTGGTGAAGACTGCTGCGCAAGCGAAAGGTTTGGGACAACAAAGATACCCAAGTGTTGCATGTGTGGTAAAAATATAATACCGACAGCTTGTTGGAAAGACACAATGCAAACACTGGGACATTTCGTTGGAAACGTTTCGGTGCTGAGACCTCGATCCAAATTGAGTGACCAAGGTCCCAAGACCGCAACGTTTCCAATAAAATAACCGACAGAAATGTTTGAATCGTGTGTTGTACGTCTTACTCATTAACATATCAGGATTGTATTGCATTTATAATATATTCATAGGGAAACACAAGTCATACACACCAAAAGATAATCAGCTTTGATCCAAGGAAGGGGAGGCCAGCTGCAAATTCCATAAATAAAGGTCTTGGCCATCATCAGTGCACCACCCATGAAAGAGGTTGTGCACTATGTATGATATTCGTAATTATGTGTACTTGTGCCTAAATAAACTTGTGTATTAATTTATATTCACTGGGGAGCGCTAAACCGGTAGTGCTGATGTAGCGCTTTGGGCAATGGGGGATAATCAAGAAAATCAGGTTCAGTTCCTTGGATCAAGAACCCCTCACCGGCGTTAAAGTTGGTAAATGGAGGTTTCAAGCCTATCAACTACACGAGGATCATTAAGCCTTCACAGTGATAACCTTTTTCCTACCAAACAAGAATACTTCAATACCTAAAATAGGGATTAATTTAAGTTTTCAGTACATATATACCCTGAACACATACTTCTCAGTATGTATAACCTGCCCAATGGAAATAAGTCACTCTGTCTGTCTTTTTTGGGTTATCCCAGGTTCTCTACACGTCTGCTGCTATGTACGATAATTCTATGTAACTATCTGTGTATACCTGAATAAACTTACTTACCCAGAGAGCACAGTGCACACTGTAGAGTCTCGTGCATTAGATACCTGCATTTTAGTGTGGAACAAATATTAGGATGCTGGAAGACAGCATTACAGGGCCACGTCAAGCTTCACTATGTTGGAAGATCCAATGGAAATAAGTCACTTTGTCTAACTTTTTTTCGTGGGGGGGGGGGTATTCTAGGTAATTTACATCATTTATGATAATTGTACTTACGTGTACCTGTGTCTCGATACACTTACTGTGATGATACCGGCAAATTATAGGTAAAAGAGACGTATGTGCTGATCAAAACATTTATTAAGGAAAAAGAAAACTGTGGTGAAACTTTTCCTTAAAAAATATCTGAGAATCAGTGCCTACGTGTCTTACCTACAAGTTTCACTATGGACGGTGTTCGTACGTTCTGGACTACTGTCATCTTAGGACGGGAATAATACCAGTTACCTTTCAATAATAATCTTGTTGATTCACTATAAGATACTTTAGGAAGGTCGTAAATCCCTCCAGAAACCATATTATGGCGTGAGAGAGAAGCCATGTTGTTTACAGTGTTACCATGGCAACTCTTGCTGAACTGTGATTGGTCAGAGAAAACGCCTCTCTTTATCTGATTGGTCGACACTCTTTGTTTTGATCTTCTTATATTTATTTTAGTATCCTTTATTCTTTTAAAAGTACATTAATAATAACCGTTATCCAATTTCTAATATTTAGCATCTCTGGTGAATGTAATGCATTTTTAACTTTATACAATAAGTAGCGGAAAAGGAATAAAATATGTATGCTTAATAGATAGATAATTTTGTATACAATGACTCAAGTTGTTGGAACATATGGCGTAGATTCGGCAGGTCACAGGAGAAATGTCATACAGACGCCGCTGTAAATTTTAAAGGACATTTACCTTGTTTGAGCATCACCACAATGAATTTAGGACCAAAAAACCCATATGGTAATGGCTTAGCGTACGCTGGGTTCAACCAAGACCAAGGTGAGAGTGATAAGGTTGGTGCAGCAAGTGTGTGTTGCCTTCCTATGTAGCTCGTGTTTATAATATTACTGAACCAACATTTGTATCTATCAGAGAAGAAGACGACATCAGGGAGCCACTCTTATGATTATTTAACTCAGGAAAATTATTAACTTAAGCTAAAGCAACAAAGTCAAGTAATATGGTTTATTTCCATCGGGGTCCTCTCAGAGCTGGTGACCCCACAGTAGCCCATTAACTCCCTAGTACCTGTTTACCGCTCTAGGTTACCAGTGCTACCAGGAGTAAAGACACTTGCCCCTCCTTGGCTGGAAATCAAACTCATAAGTCTTAGTGAACTTCACATATAGCGTTGAGACTAAACATAGTTAATGTGTGTTGCTTCTAGGACTAAAGTGATTGACTGTAGATTATGACAGCTCCAGGGACTAAAGTCATCTATGGCTTTAGTTCTTGGACCTGTCATAAACGTGTTGAATTGTGCGTACGTGTCTTCATGGCAGTAAGTTAGTTTTTATTTTAGGTTTTGCATATAATTTTAAGCCATTACTTTGGTTTTATACGAGTACAATAAAACACCTCAATTACTGGGAATGGTTGAAGTCCCTTGACCTTTACTCCTTGGAATGCTGGCGAGAAAGATACATTATAATGTACACTTGGAAAATTCTGTTGGGACTAGTCCCAACTCTGCATATGGAAATCACTCCCTACAAAAGCAAAAGACTCAGCAGGCAGTACATCATCATCTCAATGAAAACCAGGGGTGTCACAAGTACACCAAGACATAACACAGTAAGCGTCAGGGGCCTAAGACTGTTCAACTGTGCCTCAGCATACGTAGGGGAATTGCCAATAGATCCCTAGCTGTCTTCAAGAGGGAGCTGGACAGACACTTAAAGTTAGTACCTGACCAACCAAGCTGTGGTTCATACATTGGTTTGTGTGTGGCTGGCAGTAATGGCCTGGTTGATCAGGCGCTGATTTACTACGAGGCCTGGTCATGGACTGAGCCACAGGGGCGTTGAACCCTGAAACACTCACCAGGTACCCCCAATAAAATTAAAAACTGACTTATTTACAATTATGAGTATTGGACATAGCAAACATGTTTTACACTGTAATATATTTGTGGTTACAAAACTCTTGCATAGGTTAATAAGACACATGTACAACACTTGCACATCCTTATTGTGGAGAAGTTTCACTAGCTAGTGGCTTTATCAGTCCGGTACAGAAAGTGCTATTAAAATTGGTGAAAGACATGAAGTAACAGCTTGAGGTGATCAGTCCCTCATCCTAGAAAGGCAATATTCAGTTCCTCAGTCTAGAAAGGCAATGTTCAGTCCAACAGTCTTGATGACTGAGTCAGAATCAAGACTGTTGGACTGAACACCTCCCTTCTAGGCTGAGGGACTGAACACCTCCTTTCTAGGCTGAGGGACTGATCACATAAAACTACTGATTCATGTTTACCACTGTTTCCAGTAGTATTCTCTGTTGGATTTATAAAGTCACTACTTGGTCAAATTTCTCCAAATTAAAGGTACCCTAGTGATGCACATGTGTCTTGTTCATCTCTGTTTTACAGTTTTGTGAATGTAACACTAAATAAGGGATATAAAGTGATATGTGGTAACATTAGGCCCTATGATGACCAATAGATTAAGTAAAAATCCTCATTTAAATACTTAAGCACCATCATAGTGCATGAGTAGAAGTGTGACAATGCAAACCCACTTTGTTTACACAGTAGTTTTATCTCTCTCTCCTTTAGGTGAAGGGCTCTTGAGCTTTAATCTTTAGTTGAAACCTGAATAGCTCCCATTCCTCAGGCACTATATAACCTCAATGGGTCTAAAACTTTTCCTGATTAAAATAAAAAATTATCTGCCTTTCCCCATGGAAGTAGTCAGTAGCATACTGTATTTTCTTTCCATTTTTATAATACTTGGCTACTCTTACATTAATATTTATAATCTTATTATATGATATTTACAAGTTTCTCTTATGTTATTACCTACATCCAATCAGTTATTGGTTGGTGTGATAATGGAATTTTCAGAAGTTATTCATGCCTTATGTAACAGTTATAATGTTCAGTATGAAAACATCCCAGGACCTCCCAGGGCCAACAGTTGTCAGAACCCTCCCACACAGGTCTGCTAGTGTACCTGACTTATAATTAGTGATTCCAGGGAGTAAATCATTCCTGTTGAAATATGAAGAGGTGCAAAATCTCGAGGAAATACGAAAAGTGTACAGTTTTGTAAAAATATGATTAACAGTGTACAGTTGTTAGTACTTATTGTGATGGAGTGACGTATACAGTGTGTGGTAAACCTGTAGTTAGCAGCGGTCAATATATACACAACGAAAATCATTATTCCTACAATAGTCTCCATATATTGAAGCCATCAGCGCCCAAACACGCAAGTTATACTTTCTGTATCAAACTGAACACATATTAGTGTTTATTTTTTTTTTCCAGTAGTCCTTTTATGAGCTAGTCCAATATCACCCAGTGAGCCTAACCCGGATCTGCCCAGATTCATCCAACAACCGGATTGAAACGGATTTGTTGATAACAATGTATCATCTGACTGGTTTCAATAGCTGATGGGGCTCTATGCACCCTATCAAACACTCAAACAGTAACTATAACAAATAGTTACAATACAGATAGACAGATCCACTGTTATGGTGCTTATTAGAAAAAAGATATACAGTGATCCACTAACTGGATTCTTCCAGTTTCGCTGGATTCGGGAGGATTCAGACGAATTTCGCTGGATTCGGGTGGATTCAAATGCTTTTTGTGGAAATAAAGCTGGATTCGGGCGGATTCAAACGGTTTCATTGGAAATAAAGCCAAATCAGAAGAACTGTTACAAAAAAATTAAATACATCAGGGAATTATAAACTAGCTAGCTAGGAGAGTTGTCCAGTATTGTAAGATGACTGCTACCATGAAGATCTGTGTAGTCTGCAGAAAGGGTAAGGGATGAAGACAGGCCTGGATTGCTTGCCATCTGTGTGGTCAGTGGTCCCATAGTATATGCAGGGATTTTAAACTAGTGACCACAGTTGACATAAACTCAGAGAGAAGTTTTTGGGTCTGCCCAACGTGATACACCTGTATGAGGAAATGACATCTATATTAAAAAACAAGAGCATCAATAAAACATCCTTCTTGAAAGACATGTCAGCATGGTATGACAGCTGGAAAAAAAAAGATGGGTGGGAGGGATGGGGTTGTCTTGGACAGTGCTCCTGAGGGGGCTAGTGCTGTCCAGGAGGACAGTGCTGAGGGTGCTAGTGTTGTCTTGGAGGAAAGTGCTCCAGAGGGTCCTAGTGATGTTTTAGAAGATAGAGCTCGTGAGGGTACTAATGTTGTCCTGGAGGACACTGAAGACAACCTTATTCAGTCCACAGAGGTTCAAAGTAGAGATACTGCTGGAGATGGATCAAAATGGGATGAGGCCTCAGGGAATAGTGTGGACACACTACCAGCAAAACCTGGTGGAAGCACTGATGTCCATACAGGGTTAAAAGATATTGAGGAAACAGGAAAAATAAATGCACCAGCAGTGAATGCAGCTACAATAAATCCTAGCAAACAGAAGTACAATCTATGTAAATACTATGCCTTGACTATCTACAGGCACGGTATATCTGGTAAAACAGGTGGGACATGCACCTTTGACCATCCCAAAGAATGGTGCACCCACATAACAACAGGAGAGTGCAACTTCCCTTCTTGCAACTTATTTCACCCAGAAATGTGTCGCTCATCAATCCATGAAAGAAAATGCTACAATGCATACTGCCAGACACATCATCTAAAGGGGACTAGAAGACACAGACCAGCCACACTATGGGAAACAAAAGAGAGGAGCCACAACCTCTCCAAGGTCAGAGGTTTTCTAGGGCCAGAAGGAGAAACAGATTGGCAAGAAATGACAATAATTGTACACCACCTGAAAACACTTCTGGAGCAGAGGCACGGACATTGGCCTCTACCCCAAGACAACAGATATTAGAGCCAGCAAATAAAACCCCCCTAAATTCCACCAATACGACATTTGTCTTTGCAAACATACAGGGTCTAAAGCCGTCAAAAACCAACAAAATTCGTTACATCAAGGGACTGCTCACGGAGTTAAATGCAATGTTTGCAGCATTCGGAGAGACCCATATAAAGGATCATTATGACAACGAAATATGGATCCCAGGTTATAACTTATTCCGATGCAACAGACTAAACAGGCAACAAAGGGGGTTGGCCTGTATGTCATAGAGTTGCTCATTTGCACAGAACTACTAAACACCCCAAATGATGTAGTTGAAGTTTTGGCGGTAAAGATCGAAAACCAAAACCTTGTCATTGTGGTAGTATACAAGCCTCCAGATGTAACTTCCCAGCAATTCCAGGAGCAGCTTGAGAAAAATTGACCACTGTCTGGAAAATCTCCCAACTCCTGCCCCAAACATCTTACTACTAGGAGATATCAACTTGAGACACCTAAAATGGAGGAGTATAGCAAACAATGTTTTAGCAAAGATCACCCCGGGAGGCAGCTCAGATGAAAATTCACACACACATGAACTATTAAATCTCTGGACCAAATTCACCTTAAACCAGCAAATAGTAGAGCCTACAAGACTAGAAAATATGCTGGACCTCATCTTCACTAACAATGATGGTCTGATACGTAATATAACTGTATCAAAGACAATTCACTCAAATCACAACATAATAGAGGTACAGACATGTATGCACAGGGCTCCGGACCAGCAAAATGTGAACAGTCATGAAGGTCTCTTCACAAAATTCAATTTCAATAACAAAAACATACAATGGGATCAAGTAAACCATGTCCTAAATGAAACAAGCTGGGAAGATATCCTAAACAACACGGACCCAAACATCTGCCTTGAAAAAATTAATTCTGTCGTTCTTGAGATCTGCTCAAGACACATTCCATTAAGAAAAAGATAGAGAAGATGTAAACTAGAGAAAAAGGGAAAGAGAATTTCTGAACAGGAAAAATGATCTTCACATAGGAAAACCTGGACAGAACAAGATACACTACCTGAAACTGGTACCATCTTCTCTCAAAAACATACAAAATTCTACAGTACAGAGAAAAGGATTATGTTTAACATCACAACCAATATGCTGAGATAGCAAAGGAGGACAAACATTCCAAAAGGATGATAGTGGTACATGTATTTCCTACCAATGTTAAGAGCAGAGTGAAATGTCCACTTGTTACAAGGCTGGTGCAAGAGCCCCAGTAATGGTGGTGTGTTTATCACACTAGCTGTTGATGTGGTGTAGGCATGATTCCAAAATAGTGATGATGAAAAAATATTCTTAACATGGGATAGTATTATTATTTTTAAAATGTACATAGATGTTGGGGTAAATCAGCTGAGATTAATAGGATAAAAACAGAAATGTTAAAAACAGGTGGGGATATAGTTTTGAAATGATAGGTGCATTTATTTAGTATATGAATGGAGGTGGAAAAGGTATGTGTGGATTGGTAAAGAGCATGTATAGTTCCTTTGTATAAGGAAAATAGGGTTTAAAGGAGTGTGTAAAATTTATACAGAATCAGCCTGTTAAGTATACCATGTAAAGGGTATGGTAGAGTTGTTATTGTATGTGTAAGACAGAGTGCAGGATTGCAGATGAACAGGTAGTTTTAGGAAGGATAGGGAATATGTAGATCAAGTGTTTTAATTGTAGCATGTAGGTGAACACTTATTAAATAAAGATGAGCTTTTTGTTGGATTTATGGATTTAGAAAAGGTGTACGATACGATGGATAGGGGTGCAATGTGCAAATATCACTAATGTATGGCATAGGTTGTAGGTTATTAAAAGCAATAAAGAGGGTTTTATGTGGATAGCTAGGCTTAAGTTAGGGTATTTAGGAGAAAGGGGGATTATTTTCCAGCAAAAGTTGCCCTTGGACAGCAATGTGTGGTGTGTCCTGTCTACATCAGTGGCTACTGTTTGTAACCTTACTCTCCTTTCCAACAACTCATTAGTCTTGACAATAAATCTATCATTACCTCCCTCAAAGCCACTGTCTGTGAACTCATTTACAGTATTTAAGAATAGTGAAGCTCATTTGTTGATTATAAAGGTTCATTCTTTCAAATATTTCAATTTTTCTTACTTTTCAGGGTGTTTTGCTTGTGGAATGGACACAGGCTTTAGAGTTTACAATTGTGATCCATTGAAAGAGAAGGAAAGGCAAGATTTCTCAGATGGAGGCATCGGTTATGTGGAAATGCTGTTTAGGTGTAACTATTTGGCCCTTGTTGGCGGGGGCTCACATCCCAAATATCCAACAAACAAAGGTGCAGAACTTGAGTACCATTCTTTATGTTTCTGTTGTGAATGTATAGTCTATTGTTATTTATGTAAGTACTTGTGCATTTCTCATTTTCATGTTGTAAAAGATTTCCCTTCAAGGACAGCATAGGCAATCTGCACTTAACAGACATGTCGTGTTCTAAACAACACCTGTAATGCATATTACATTTTCCTCGTAAACTTACATTATAACATTGTACTATATAAATTGGCATGTATTCCAGGGGGAAATATTTTTTACCCTGAAATTTAAGGAGAAAAAGATAAAATAAATTAGGAAATGTAAAATTATATGTACAGTACAGCATATGAACATTATACGTCCACCCGCAGAATAAAAATTGACATAAATATGAGATTTGTTTACAAAGCGGCTCTGTAGGAGTGTCGGAAGAATTACGTTTTCTCTAGTCAAACACTGGGGGATAACTGTAGATAAATATTCCTTTTGTATGCCTTCACTCTATATATAGCAATTCACGACCCTTGTGGATTTAGTGCTTTTTTTTTATTATGATTATAATAATAACTTATAATAATAATTTGTAATTATAACTTGTAATAATAATAATTTTTAATAATAATTTGTAATACGTAATAATAATAATAATAATAATAATAATAATAATAATAATTTGTCAGAGCATCATTCCTTCTAAAAATTACATGAGAATAGAAGTGTTGGTCTTCATTTATTCTACTGTACCACTGTGGAGACAACTTGTACACAATGTAAGGTGTTTGTATGAATGTTTATGAACCACAACCAGACGCATTGTCTGTTTGTTTACATAGTAGGTGGGTGGCTAGGCTGACTTCCCTACACTACCCTACCTACCATACCACTTTCTACAAATAAATGCTTTTCACTTTTCACCCTACATTAAGACTACAAATATTTTAAGCTAAGTAATGAGTGTACTGTATATGCATTTTATCACTCTATTTAAGCATCGTCGTAGTATATTATGTGTGGGTGGGGGTGGCCAGGAGGGCTACCATACCTAACTTCTTAAAGTAAATGCTACTCGCCTTTTGCCCAACATTAAGATTAAGAATATTTTGAGGTAAATAATGAGTGTACTGTCTGTGTATTTTACTTTTTATTGTTTTATAATGCCTAAGTTCTATTGCTAACTTAATGTATGTTAGTGTAAACTTGTCATCTGGCACTTATATACATTTACAAGTGGAAAAAATGGCGTTCTGCTTTCCAGGGAAGTCTGCTTTCCGGCACTAGCCTGGAACCTAACTTGCCATATAAGTGGGGCCAAACTGTACAGTGAACCCTCATTTTTTGTAATCATTCTGTTCCAGAGAGTGTGACTAGTGGTGAAATTGACGATTTGTGAAACCATTTTTCCCCATAAGAAATAATGTAAATCCAATTAATCCATTTCAGACACCCAAAAGTATTAACAAAAAAATACAAATTATAGAGAATAACTATAGTTTTACATACAGAAAACAATGAGAAATCAAGTATAAAACAATAATAACACCACACTTACCTTTATTGAAGACATTTGCTGGTGTATGAATAAAATATGTTATTACGTATGTTAGGAATTGTGGCAGCAGCAGAGGAGTTTGTTTAGAGACAGGACAAGATAGTCCTTCAATATGACACTAATATCAACTCTATGGCTTATTTATCTATCACAATTCATCTAATATGACATAGTATACTATATTAATAACATAGAAACATGACATGTACTCTAGAATGAATAAAATGTGTCATTACGTATGTGAGGAGTGGTGTTTTGTTGTTGTTGGGTTTATAAGAGCCACTGAGATCATAAGCCATACATATTAGTGGTAGGGTGGTGGCAGCAGAAGCCACCACCACTATTCACACAAAAAATGTACATAATTTATAAATAAGAAATATTTTGACTTACCTTGGAGGAGCTGGCAGAGGGTGGCATATGTTGTCAGTGCCCCATATACCTCAAGCAACAATGGAAGAGTTCAGTTTCATGTCATCATTTTTCTATAGCTTAATCGCTTAACTTACTTGCTACACTATTAATGCTACACTTTATCTCTGGCTGGCGCTATAGCCTTTATCGACGCATGCTACTTTAATATCGTACATGTTGTAGAACCACTGAAGAAGGCATATTCTCCCCTCCAGAGGACCAACGATTGGCGAGTCAAATGACGATTCACGAGTCAATATTTTAACGAAAAAAGTTACGATTTGCAAAAATTATGAATTCTAATGCTTACGAAAAATGAGGGTCCACTGTATTAGACAAGAGATAACCTGTAGCCGTAATGAAGTGTTACTTTGTACACAAAAAAAGAGATAAACATGAGTTTGTGTGACTGAATGACTGACTGAGTGACTTGACTGACTTACTGAATGACTTGACTGACTTACTGAATGACTTGACTGACTTAATGAATGACTTGGCTGACTTATTGAGTGACTTGACTGAGTGACTGAATGAATGACTTAAAGTTAGGCACTCCAGTACAGCCATCGACTTCAGCACCAGAACCTCTACCATCCACCTCAGCCAAGTGGGGGCCACAGCATAACTCTCCACTCTCTTAACAATCATCTACAATTTAAGGTAAGAAATACGTACTATTATTTCTGTTACATTTGTAGTCTTAAGCATTAAAAGCAACATAATACATCATAACAATGAACTACAACTACATATTCACTTTTATTTTTGTAAGATGTGGAGGCCCTAAAAAAAAAAGTTGTTTGGCTTTTTTGGGGGCTCCCATGAACGTAACCCTATTTTCCCCATAAGGTCTTCAGTTCATCTAACACGATTTTACCTAACACGGCATTTTCAGGAACGTAACTACCGTGCTAAATGATGGTCTACTGTACATCCTAATTATTGTGTCCTCAGATATGCTGTGGGTGGCAAATTTTGCCCTAGACAGGAGAGAATGAGTCTGTGTGGTGAGTGTAGACAGTATAAAAAAAACTGCCCCACACAGCGCATGATTGGAACAACTAGTTTACATGGATCTATTTGCTGTTTGATAGACTGGAAGATATGCTAGTGAAATAGAGATGATTTTTGATTGGTTTCATGTTGGAAGTGGTCTGAAATAGTAGGGCCCTGCTATATGACGAGCAGTTTTTCAAATACAGGGCATTCTCCGTGAGTACATCTCTCTATTATGTCCGGAAATTTTCCAAAATTTCAAGTGTTTTAGAGCTATTGCATATTTTATGTATATGTACTTGTACTTTGATAATTATACTTATGTGTACCTGTACCTATATATACTTACACACTGTGCTGGTGTGCAGGTACACATTTAAATCACTAAGAGTCTCTCTCTACTCTTGATGCCATATAATAATCTCTTGGATGCATATATATGTATATGTATGTTAATATAGACATTTCCATTAATCCATATACATGTATGATATTTTTTTCAAAATTATATAATAAACACGCTACGTAATATATAAACATGATGCATACACCCACAGTATAAAAATTGACATAAATATGAGATTTGTTTACCAAGCAGTTGGTGGGAGGGTCAGAAAAATTATGTTTTCTCTAGTCAAACACCAGTAACTTAACTAAAAATTTATTCCTTTCATATGCCTTCACTCTAGCTATTCACGACCCTTGTGGGTTTAGTGCTTCTTTTTTATTGTGATTATAATAACTTTTAATAATAATAACTTGTAATAATAATAATAACTTGTAATAATAATAACTTGTAATAATTTGTAATAATAATAACAATTTGTCAGAGCATCATTCCTTCTAAAAATTACATGAGAATGGAAGTGTTGGTCTTTATTTATTCTACTATACCACTGTGGAGACAACTTGTACACAATGTATGGTGTTAGTATGAATCATAACCAGACGCTTCGCCCGTTTGTTTACATAGTAGGTGGGGTGGCCAGGAGGGCTACCGTACCCTACTTCCCACACATGACTTTCTACAGATAAATACTTTTCACTTCTCACCTTATATTAAGACCATTAAGACTACAAATGTACATGTATAACCCTTTCAGGGTCGGCAGGCCCTCTCCTAAACTTGTTCTCAGGGTTGGAAATTTTTCGAAAAAAAAAAAAAAATTTCTTATGAAATAGTAGAGAATCTTCCCGATCATAATGACGCCAAAAGTATGAAATTTGATGGAAAACTTATGGAATTATGCTCTCGCGAAGTTGGAGGTCTCGACGATGTTTATGCATCGGCGATTTCGCCCACTTTGAGCCCTATTTTCAGCCAATTCCAATGTACCAGGCGACAAAAATCATAACTATTTCGCTAGAACTCCATTTTCTCTATCGAGTGAGTACAAGAAACCACCCATTTACTGATTTCAACTATCCAATAAAGTGGTCAGAAATTGGCAATTTTGCCAATTTCACACAAATTTCAAAAGATGCCAGTTTCCAAATAGGGTCCAGAATAAACAAGACAGACATTCCTGGCACTAAAATAACATTTTTTTCTGTTAATTAGTCACGTCCCCAGGCCTCTCTTACATTTCTTTTGCTTTCCACTTTGTATTTTTATTCTCACAAAAAAATAGAAGATTTACTGCTATGCAGACTACTGTATTAGTGTAGAAATGGTATAAATAATATCAGCGCACTTGTGAAATAATATTAGACTCACCAGTTGACGTGTATTGGACGCGTGGCATGATTTGTTTACTTTTGAACTTTGGCAAAAATCGAACATTTCTGCTACTTTGAGCTCAATTTCAAGGTACTTTTCATTGTCAAACCAATCAGAATCATCTCAATTTCTGTAATATGTCTTCCATTCTATAAAATAAGACCAGGAAAACTAGAATACAACCATAAATAGCATACGAAAATACACTGCAAAGTCGCTGTTTTAACCCTTTCAGGGTTTCCGACGTACTAGTACGGCTTACTCACCAGGGTTTTTGACGTACTAGTACGCCTAAATTCTAGCGCCCTCAAATCTAGTGAGAGAAAGCTGGTAGGCCTACATA